TCGCAATGCCATGAGTATCTCTACACAAGCATAACCACTTAACATGAAAATTCGGAAACATAATACCAAAAAGGAAGAATAATAGTTGGCAAGTGATGATTGCAAGGTGAGAAAAAGGGAGAGAATGTTTTTGAAAATTTATCTGTACAACATAGTGTCAGAAAGGTAATGTCTCCTTGTGTCCAATCTGGAACTAACAGTTAAGGACAATAAGTATCCTTCTTTGGAATGGAATTACCGATTTAGGAACATATATAACAAGTGGAGTTGAGTTTAAACAAGCTCATCATTAATTTTACAACCCATCTACATTTTGAACATTCCTAATCTTCTGTTTTAAGCCGCGACACAAATGACAGGCATCTAGCTAATGTACAGCAGAACTGAAAGCAGAGGAGCAACAAAATACTGTATTCTATCACTTTCAGTCCTGCAGATGTGGCAATTTAAGAAAAATCTATCAAATTATATTATTTATTTATTATTATTTTTTAATCTGTACCGAGCGCATAGCTTGTATACATAAAAACAACTAAGAGAATAGATGTTAGCATGCTTCTTAAGTGTATAATTCATATAATGGAAACCATTAACTCTGTACTCACCTAAGTGCAATGGCAGCAGGAAATATGTAACCAACAGAGACTGTAGCTGTAGCTCCAGTGAACTGAAAAGCATCCCAGATGCTAGGTACACAATTGGCTCCCACAAAGATGAAACTGATTAAGGTTGCAGTAACTGAGAAGAATCTTCTATTATCATAAACAATAGGAATTGCATGATGGAACACAAGGCCATCAACGTTGAGGCGAAGTGAAAAGAATACAATGGGAAATACAAGCATCAGGTGAACTACATAGCTCACTCTCACCACATCATTAAGCAGTAAGCCATATGGGATCCCAAGACTGCCATCAAAATTGGAGAGTATATCATCCATTGTCTGATCTCCAAAGAGGAGAAATCCAAAGAGGCTAGTTGCTAAATAAACAGATGTACACAAAGTGATTGACGTCCTGACTATAGACTTCATCTGTGCGGAGTCTTTTAGCTCATTCTCTATGGGATGAACTGTAACACACGTACAGAGAAGCAATCAGCAAAAAGCAACTAGTGGCAAGAGAAGAAAAAGCACTTATAATGCAGCAGAAAATCTCAAACACTCTAAAGATGATAGTAAAATCAATTTCCAGGATCACTTCTCAAGCTCTATTAACTGGCACCATGCCTTGATAGCATTGATTGCACGATCAGGGTAATCTCCTCATTTCCACCATGGTAAGTAATAAATTGCTAAATGCCAAAATCAAATTCATACATTTTCCACCCCAATATTTAAGAACATCCCAAATAATCCAACATTCAATCTGCATACACTTAAAACTCCCCCTATTTTCTTTTTGCTTAAAGCTTTCCCCATGTGATGTTTAGGATTACACATTGCAAAGAAAATCACTTAATTGCCCCGGATTTAAACATTTTCCAGCATAATCATTTATGCATAAGAAATGTTTCTAAAACACATGAAGTATCCTTGCAAGAAGGCCATCACTCAGACAAGATAACACGAACATGATGAGGCATTTCCTTGAATTATTAAATAAAAACACAAACCACATACATATTCCAATTTAGACCATGCATAAACACACCGGGTACATCTACTGTGACATTAAATTACTTTAAAACGTTTGTAAGTTGTAACAACTTTCAAAGTACACATGATACCCATAATTACACTTCTTAATTCATCATAGATGATAACAATTTTCTTCTCAAAAAACATCAAGGACTATAAATTTTCATTTTGAAAAATCATTAGTTAAAAGTTCCAGACACATCTACACTTGACAATGGCAGTAAAACTATGCAAATGACGAGTTAGAATTGCATAGTGCAATTCTTATTTCAACTTTTCAGTCACTAATATGACTATTTGTAAAGCATTCATTGCCAACACCAAAAGGCTAAAAATGGACTATTTAATTGGAAGAGATAGGCAACAGTGATATGCTTTTCTCCTGCAAGACACCCAAATAAAATACACAAGCGAGTTCCTTGTGCAACAGTAAAATTAAGTAAAACACCATTGTGATTAAATAGATTAAAGACCAGAACTTACCATTGTGATGACAAATATAGGCAGTAACAAGTACAGGAACAACGGTGAAAAGCCTCCAAAAAGATGCCTGATCAACAAGTTTTGGCATCAAACGTGGTATTCCAATGCTGCCATTTATCAGTTTAATAATGGCTATTCCTGCTGTGATCACCACAAATACAACAGCCAAAGCCACCGACAAAGCTGATGTGTATCTCAGTGAATCTAGTTAAGGAAATTACTAATATTAGCCAATGGTGATAAGCTAGCGTGTATATCAAAGAATCTAGCTGGTATGATGCTTGTTAGATGATCATGGACAAAACTAAATGCTTGAGCAACTGCTAATCTTCTACTGTGTTTACAAGAAAAGTTTATACCAAATAGCCGAAGTTGTACCACTATCTTACCCAAATGAAAGGATTAAACTCAATGGTAATCAAAGGAGTGCAACCAGCGATATGCCACAATCTCAATCCTTTCAGATTAAACTTGGGATGATTTTTTCTCTTTTAGGCTCACAGAGTTCAATAAAGGGTGATTGGATCTTAACCTAGTATCTCTTGTTTTCACACTTCATCTCAATTTAATTAAATCTCTTCAACAAAGAACAAGCTCTAGATTGACTCAATTCAGAGGGATGATACTACATTTCATTGAGGAAAGAAAGGTCAGTTAGATGGGTATTAACTCCATGGGTAAAGTTTTTCATAGGAGCTTTTTCTCCAAACCAAAACGATATATTGAATATAATGGATCCCAAAAGGTTTAACATTTCTAGATAGCTAATGAACCACCATAACTTTCAGAGACGGGTGACACAAAATGAACAACATATCTACACAAATTGGACTATCACTTGAATGTGTTACGCTGTGATGTAAAATTAAACAAGAATTCAATATCAGGAAACTTCTACAAAACCAGGCACATAGTGTGAAGTTATTATATACAACTCAAAGTAGAAATAGTAAGATTATAAGACGGGAAAGAGTTTTGGATGCTCACCAACACGCTTGAATGATATCAAAGGAGCAAAAACAAAAAGGGTTGTTAGAAGCAGCACGAAAGATCGTCTAGTCCACCAATACTGACCGAACCATTCTTCCATTACACCTGAATGATGCACCCCATCTGAAGTAGACCCTGATAGCACATCACCTGTCACCAGAGACACCAGCTTAAAGTTACTTCCCAAAGGATTCTTCGTCCTTCAGCATGTAGCACTAATATTATTCCCACTAGGACACCATCTACAGTTGCACTTACCTCATCCTCACCCCAGCAAATACTGCCCCTGGTCTACCAGGGTGGCACACCTAACATAGCTTAGCTCAAATTGAGCCTCGTAAAATTCAACGCCACCAAAATTCTAATCACAAATTGATGAAAACATATCATACTTTATCCCAGAAGGCAAAAAAATGAAAATAAAAACATCAGTTTGCAATGAAATTGGATTTTCTCCCAAAAAAAAAAAGCAACTTCAGCTCATATTAAAACCTAGCTGAAACCCAATGTATGTAAGCCCATAAAATTAGATAAGAAAAGCCAAAAAAGGAAAAAAAAGAACAAAAATGATTGGAGCTTAGGACCAATACCTATGATAATCATGTAGACAACAAGAGTGCCGACGTTGTTAACCACAATGCAGAACTGAAGCAAAGTCCGGCCGGCGCTGCCGAATGCATCGCAGGCTAAGCCGGAGTAAGAGGTGGCTTTGGAAGCTTTACTAAACCTTAAAATAATCTCAATAGACTTTTCCGTCAACATTGCAGCGAGAACGATGAAGATTAGCCCCGGGAACATCCCTAATTGCTTCAGCGTTTCGGGAAGGGCCATAATTCCGGCGCCGACGATGGTGGTAGAGAGATTGAAAACGGCGCCAGAGAATGAGGCCCCATCGACGTCGAAGCTGGCGACCTCGTGAAATTCCCCATCGGCGTCGGCAACACGCTTGCTTGGAAGGAGGGGCGTTGATTTAGGGCTCCGGCGATACTTGCGATCGACGTAGGACATTCTCGTAAATTTCTGGTTAGAATTTGTCAGATTTTGTTGGATTGATCCGATTGAATATATCAAACGAACGTAGACAGTGGACGAGGCTTTGTGTTATGAGTTTACGCGGGAAGTAACGTGGACGTGGAAGCCAATTAGATGGTAACAAATCGGCGATGATGGGACCCGAAACTGGCCGTTAGGACATGGACTTTTCCTGTGTCTAAACTCTACTGTATGAACTATGAAATGAAATGTCTACACCAACATATTCTACAGGATCTTGCTAAATGTTAAAAGAGTTTGTTCTTTCCTTTTTTTTTTTTTCATACCCCCAACTGTAATATCAAAATTTGAACTCTGAACTTAATTACGAAAAGAATTTTAAAAATTCAATTTTAAACCTGACAGGGGTAAAATTTCTAAAAATCTTCCCTAACTACTGGACTATTCCAAGACGTTAATGATGTTAGTGAGTAAGATAAATGAAAATCATATCATTCTTTTCCTCTTTTGGATAATTTCTAAATTTCCTTTTTCCTTTTCCAGCAGAGAATACTTCCAATTCAGATATAATCATTCGAAAGGGCGTACAGTGTATTTTAATTAGTGTATATAATAAGCTTTTACCGATTGTTTTTCATTTTCGATTTTTACCATTTGCGCATGGATTAGATAGATAAAATATTAAGTACTCAGAAGAAGTAAATTATATTTCCCTCTTTTATCCATCATAAAAACATGTGACCCTTTCTCATAAGCAAATACTGAAATCAAGTTTTGCATCTTTTTTCAATACAAAGTTAGGTCTGCTTAATCAAGTGCAAAGAGTTGCCCAAAGTTAGGCAGATATTTTGGCCAAAAGATTTCTTTCCCAAGCTAAACAGCTTCTTCACCAGACTTGCATTTCCAACCATTAACACAGGAACTAGGCATATGACAGCTAAACAAGTACCGTACTAGAAAACCAAAGCCCCACCCTTTTGGCATTGCCAAAAAAGGTTCCCTTCTAGCAGCTACATCTGCTAAAAAGAAATGATCGAAATGAACTGGATATTGCAGATTGAAGCCAATCTAAATCGTATTAGTTTTATACTCCATTTATTGGCCCCCAGTCTAACCCGAAAATAAGCAATAGCCCGCTAAGCTACACATATTTGGGTAAATGTATAAGCGATGGCCCAGGCTAATAGTAGTTAATGCATCCGCGGCCTCAAGCAAGTGCAACAAGTCCCAAGCCACCCCCTCGTTCTAAAACCTAGTGTTCAGGTTGGCCGTGCTTGTATCAAAGTCTAAAATGAGCAAAGATAAATGCCCCTATCAGTTTAAAACTGCTCTGTACTCAGCTTGTCTGCGCCTTCATCCTTGCATTATGAGGCAATAGGTCATCACGCTCGGAACGATAATCAAAGATGACCAGTTGAGAGTTTGGAAACCAGTAATTATCACCTTACTTTGTAGATTCCACCCCAATAGAAGACCCAAGAGACCACAGAAATTAGCAGTAGATTTATGAGCATTGGTCAGGTTTCTCATATTAGAAGACTGCACAGGAATGAGTCCAAGACCATGATGTCAACCTGAGGCAGAGCAAGATAGACCAAACTGTACCAAAAATTGTCTTGCAATAGACATATTCCATGGGGAAGAAAACCCAAGCTGCACATTACTAGAGTTACTTGGGTATAACGCAGTGCAAGAATTAACTTATGTGCTAGTTAGTGCCAGAATCGGACTAGTTAGTTTCCAATCACCGCTTTCTCTTTCTTTTGGAATTCTTGTCTAAGTCAACCTCAGCAGGCTTTGATGATAAAGCTTTTGACTTGGCAGCTACAGAAGCACTCCACAAAGCCCTCTCAACATCTGATGGTGTGAATAGGTCCTCCTCGCTCGAAAGTTCCTAAGAGCAATTTTTCCATAGATTGCATCAAACAACAAAGATGCAATGTCAAACAGAAAGAGAATCCAACTCACGATAAGATAGCAGTTTGGCTAGGACCAATAGCGCAGTTCAGTCTATATCAAGTCATTCATGTAAACATCCAAATATCAGATATCAAAGTAGCTACATCAGCATGCAAGAAGTAAATAGATGATACACCATCCTTCATCAGGAGTTTCACCTTTCAAACAAGCCATCAAAGATGGTATCAAAACTATGACCTCTAGGCCCTAATGCAGCATTTAGGATGATCAATTCTGAAGGCTAAAAAATTTTCTGGCAATGTCTCAAGTGATTGAACCTAGTAAACATTCGAGAAGATTCAGATACCCTCTCTGCCCAGAGATCCAGGAAGAATAAATTGAATTGAAGGGAAAGATGTTCAAGCACATAATTATATTAATAGTAATTAAACATGTAAAAGCACTAGCATTACCGTCGACATAAATCAACTAGTCAAGATGCCAGACGGTAAGCAAGGCCTTCATATTAAAAAAACACTCCAGCACCACAAGGTGATGATTGCAAAGACAAAAAATAAACAAATAAATAAAATCATAATTTTATGATTATATTGCACCAAATCTGAAGCACAAGCCACGGGAAGAATCAGTTCAATATGGCAATGCAGGGCAATTGGTAATGTGCATTGTGAAGTCACATGACCACGATGCAGCCAAGTCGAAGGAATCGCATCAATCAGCAAAAACTAACTTGTTGACGAAAATATGTTTTTCTAGAATGCAGTGAAAAACATTTTTTTAAAAAAAATAGATGCAGTAGATAAATTAATTGCAACTGAATAATTTTGAATTCTGATCATTTTCTATAACAGGATACACTTGATACCAAAAACATCCGGAAATATATTAGTTAGCTGCAAAATTCAGCTCGAAGTTGCAATAACAACAATCTCTGGTTAATAAAAATAAAACACATAGAAAAAATAAATAAATTCAAACCAACCATTGCCTTGGCTTGTAACTTCTCCACAAAAACTAGATAACTCTTCAATGTATAGTCCTTCGTGTTACCAATTGCTGCTTCCATCGCCTAATTCAACCACATTCGCAGCCACCCAAAAAACAATAATTAATTAATTTACATAAAATGTCTCCTTTAATTATTATTATTATTTTCAAGAAAAATAATTCCACAAATTCTCTGAATTTTTGTACCTCGTCGGACATGAATGGAGTAATATGAGGAGCATAGGCAGCGAGAATAGCGGAGGCAGTGGCGGGGCCCACGCCTTTCAAGACGGTGAGCTCCTTAACAGCTTTAGAAACGTCCGGCAACGACTCGAACGCTTTTCGCGAGGCTGATTTGACAACGTCGTCGTTCAGCGAAGAAACGAAGTCCAGCAGCCTGGGCCTCCATTTGCCCCTGCTCAGCTTCCACTGCATTAATTTTGAGAGTTCATCAGTCGTTATATATGGAGTAGGGTTCCTCTGCTTTACCAGTACCGGAAGCTCGTTCCTGTAGAAATCGTCGAGGGAAATAAGGTTTGGTTTGTTTAAGGATTCGATGCTGGACTTGTAGGACGACAGAGCCGCCTTCCATGAGCTTATGTCCGAGCATTTCAACTCCATGGCTGCCATCACTCTGCAACCTTTTTTCTTTTTTTTTTTTACGCCATTTCAATTCACAGTTTTTGACTGTATTCCTTGTTTGAAAGCGTCCGGGCAGAGTCAAAGACCAGAGGTAACGTCCTAACGGCGTCGTTTGATTTCGAACAATGACTTTTTCTTACGTCCAAAGTTTGGATCCAGTGGCGCGGAGGGAAAATAAGAATTCCTTATTCAGCGGGCTTTTGGAATAGTTTGGATCGAAGCCCATAAAACTTAATGGGCTTTCCCTTTCAACAGCTACATTTGATCAAAGCCCATAGTATTTAAACTCTTGTCTTTTATTAAAATTATACGCGCATAGTATTTCACTCGACGTTCTGTCAATTGGATTGTAAAATTCCCAAGTATTATTCATTAGATTTTCCATTTCCTACGTTTTATTCGTTCGCCAAGTATTATTCTTTTTCATATAGCATACAGCATCGAAAGTCTGTCTGTGTGAGCAAAGTTCAAGATTGTCCCGTGATTTTATGATGATTTTAACATAGATCGCCTAAAATCCAACAATTTTCACTACTACTGGCTCAAATTTGTAATTAAGTTGTTAGTCATAGTTGTACTTCATTTGTTTTTTTTTTTTTTGTACGAAAAAGTTTGGATGGATTCGACTCTGATCATCACTACAGGTCAAGACATGCTTCCAGGATCATAGATCACTTATAGATATTCTTACAAATCGTCCACCAATACAACCATTACATCGATGATGGAATTCGAACACGCGACTTTTTTGTAAGAAAATAATCTGTTCTTTTCAACCGAGCCAATTTGTGTTCGCGTACTCCATTGGTTATTTTGCTGCAGTAACATACATAAAATCCAAAGAATTTTGCTGCAACAACAGCTGAGTCCCAAGTCCCAACTCAACTATTCACCCATTAATTGCATCGTTGGAATACAATTTATTAGTTCTGTAATTTCTAAAATGGATTAGATTAAATATGTCCCTCGGGGGACATTCGATAAAATTGGAACGAAACAGACAAGATCAGCAAGGCCCCCCTGCACAAGGATGATATGCACAAATCGAAGATCAGATTAAATATGCATTTTTCAGAAGAACAACAAACAAGCTTGCATATAGAAACTTCGCAGTACAGGTTGTCCCTGTGTCGAATCTTTTCATGGAATTATGTGAGAGGTACCAGTTATTGTCTTCGACTTTTAAGCTTATCCAGGTCTATTACGCGACATAAAAGTCATCACTTGTGGTACAATATCTTATTTAGACAGTAAATTTTGTTAGTCAACGTGATGAATCTCATGCAAAACCCTGTCCAACCTAGAGATGCAACTGGATATGTGAGTATATTGTATGTATGTGTGATTGTGTTCTTAAGTTAAGATTGGGTTATACCTGGCAATTATGCCCAACAACCCAACAACCCACCCAACCCACCTACTAATTTCAGAAGTTGGATTGGGTAATTTGGGTGTTGGGTCAATTTTGGGTTGGGTAATAAAAACCCAAATATATTTTGGGCGGATTGGGTATTTGTGTTGGGTACCCATTACCCAACTTCCACTTTTATTTGACAGAGATGTAAAACTTGTTCTTATACTATTGTCTTCTCTAGTTTGTGCAAATTATAAATATTACTACCCAGATTTATGGTTAGCATCAAATTTGACTCTCCAGCGGATTAAAGTTTTTCTTGAATAAGAGAAGAATAATTTAAGTCTTGGCATTCTTCGTTAAAACTTTTAGTAGAATTATATTTCATGTTACACTGTGAATTAAGTGACACCCATAATAAGGATCATAGGAATGGCCAACTAATCGTGAAGGATATATGGCGTAATATGGAGTATAACACAAAAATATTGAACGGAGGATCAAATGCCAAATTCTACTCATGATATATTCAAAATAAATTTCAGATGCAAATTCGGAAGTTATCTTTTAGGATGCAACATGATTCATTTTGTGTTTATTTCTAATTTCTAATTTCTCTATTTTACAACGGCTCAGATGTGTTATCATGCATGATTCTTTTGTGTTTATTTTTTGGGTCAAAATTTCAGTTTATAACTTTCTTTAAAGTATGATTGGATCTAAGTAATTTAAACAGTTAGTATGTGTGTGTATTTGTAAAAGTATATTAATATGTATTTTAGTGTGTTTGTATGTGTAAAAATAACGTATTTCAAAAGAACTTAAAAAGTGAGTGTGTGTTTGTATCTGTGAGTGTTTTAGTGTGTGAAAATATATCTATCTATGTGAAAATGTATTTATGTGTGTGAATTTTTTTTTTTGTATGTGAAAATATATTTGAGAGAGTTTATGTATCAAAATCTATTATTTTATATATTGGGTCATCGGTTTGAGATAACCCAATATGACCCAACCCAAAATTAACCCAACCTAATATTGGGCGGATTGGGTGTAATCCATTTAAATGAAAATCCAACATCAACCCGACCAAAACCCGCCTAACCCACTCAATTGCCAGGTATAGGTTGGGTACATTGGTTAAGGATAACCCAACCATAAGATTCCTTTCATCGCGAAACCATCATTAATATACAACCAAGAACAAAGATACACGGTATCCTTTTTTTTTTTTTTTTTGAGAAAATGCCAATTTATGGGAAGATACTAATCAGTTACAAAAATAGATAATAACATAATCAATCATGCATGTCGGTCACCTCACTGCTCCGAAGAGCAAAATATTACCCGATTAACATTTTTTTCCTTCACATAAAATTAATTCAATCATGGCCAAAGACGTCATATCAATAAAGGATATATTAACGGTCTTATTGTACAAGGAATGAACTAGGATTCAAAAGCAGGAACGGTTGTCAGTTACAATTGTTCCCAACAATTCATTAGCTCCAATTTACCAACAAGGCAAAATTTGAATTATAAAGATCAGAATACGTAAAAATATATGAATCGTTTACACTGAATTATAACTTGTTGAAGTGTTCTTATACTACTGTTACAAAATGATTACATTAGTAACATTTCCTGTCTGTATCCTAAATGAGCTCTATTTATAGGGCCATTACATTTTTTTTTTTTGACATACTATATGTTACTCTGCAGGGAAGGGGGAACTCGATTGACTTGTATAAGGAGGGGGGGGGGTGTGCAAGGGACTTGAGGGTGGGCAGGCATGCTCATGTAAACTAAAGGGGTGTTTTGATACACTCTTCGATTTTTTGAACGGTAAGATGTGAAGTTTGAATATCTGACCTCCTTACATGGATGAGGGGCAGGAGCGGTCATCAGATGGACCGCTCCTGAACTATTCACGGTCAAGATTTGATCAAAAAAAATTATACGTATCCAAATCACTTCTTATACCTCTTTTTTAATAACGTGTATGGGACTCACAAAAGTTTGCACCTGCAACCGCTCCTGCCCGTGGTCGTAATACGGAGAGAACTAGAGAATCTCTGTGCGCCTTCAACTGCGGTGTTGCAGAGTGTCATTAATGAACAATGATGCATGCAATAGCCTGTTGTTACGACTTGGAGGGGACTTAATGGAGACAATGCTAATTGGCAACTTCTAGTGCTGTCCAAAATAGTCTCAAGTGAGTTGATCACTAGTCGAATCAACTAGTTAAAACGTATATACTATAAGATCTAAAGGGCGTATAGTGATGTACTCTTTTGATCTAAACGTGAAAATCACTCATTTTAGTTCTCTTGACTCAATTGTTAGGTCCTCCCCTAAATAAATTGAAGTGGAGTGGGAGTAAGAGTAATATAGCATTTTGTACACTCATATCAGTTATATGGTCTCCCTTTAATATAGCATTTTAGGTTCACCTAAAATAATGTCATAACAATAATCAAATGAATGAACTTTTGTCCTCTGGAAATATTTTTGTCATATCCAGACACATTTCTCTATTCCTAAAGATATCTGATAATCATTTATTTAATGTTATAATTAGAATGCCAATCACAATACTGATATGCTTCTGAAAATGTTTGTGGCCAATGAAATACTTATACAATATCTTTAGATAACCAAAAAAAAAAAAAAAACAACATTGTTGCACCACACCGTCTTCTTCGTCTACCAACCATATGTTATTCAAATTAAACTGTACCAACAACCAAGTGAAAGTCTTTTGTTTTTTCTTTTGGTTTCTGTGGCTGAAGAAAGGGAGCTTTTCTCGATCGGAGCGACATTGTGGAGTCCATGTGCACCAGATATGGAACAGGGTAGACCACCTAGCTAATACCTGAAACTCTCATTCCCTCTTCTTCTTCTTGATAGCTGATAGTACTAGTTGTCATTTCTCGATCAACAATGAAATTCACTTTATGGGAAAATCGTTTAAAGTAGATTTGAGGATCCCTCACGTTCATTCAGTTCGTGAATCGTGAGATGTCCAAATTAACTCTGAAATCGAATTTGGCATCATTCTTTCAGTGTCCTTATCTTGAGCAGAGTAGACTAGACAATATATGATTATGCACGAGTCATCAAAACTATTGCGGGTAAATTGATGGCTATGTAATTTTCAGCAAGAAAGGTGTAATTTACTTTGACTGTCAGCATCAATTGGGGTTACAATTGTCATTCAAATTCGCCATGCAAAATGTGAATCACGTTTTTATAAAGCTTCTTTTTTTTTTTGTTGTCAATCGTATTTATCTACTCTACACCTACTCCTAATCGATTTTAAGGGAAGGGTCCAACTAACCGTACGGAGGAATCGACGGGAATTGAATCACCATCGGATCAGGCGAAAGTACTACACACTTGTATGGATTTAAGCCATCTAAGTGGCAAAACACATACTGTGGCAAGTGATAGGAGATAAGATTTAAATTCTTAATCTTCCATCATACTAAATCTTAAAGACTTTGGTGGTGACCAACAGCCATTACGTGTTTATATAAAGCTTCTACGTACGCATGACAATTATTGGATTGAACGTTGCAAGGGAATTGTATGTACGCACGTAACAAGTCACAACTACGTGCATGCCTCAAAACGAAGAAACGACATCAGAGTTTCATGGACCCAAAAAATTCCCGCAAGAAGTCTCTTTCTCCTGTGATAGCTTTTTTATTTGGAAAATGGCACTTTTTAATGATTAAATATCGCATTCTTTGTTGAAATTGTTGCCGGGCCTCTCGAAAGATAGAACAGTCGGGTTTTATCTAAATAAAATAGAAAAAGTGGGGAAGAAGAGAAGAGGAGAACAAATGCAGCGAAATTGGCGCCGGACCTTGAGTCGAATTGATTAGGCCATGTGCAACCAACGTCCATCAATGATGGTGGCATACAACCAAAACGACTCCTGCTAGATAGCCGCCCCCTTCTCTCGGACCAAAGAAGGTTTGAAGACGCTCGACCAACGGGAGAGGAATGAAAGGAACGGTTTTTTTCTTTTTCTTTTTCTTTTTCACATGAGTATAAAGCAAGTTATTATTAGTCAAGAAATATTTGTTGATACGTCGTTTTGCAAAATTTCGTAGGCTAGTATCTAATCTAGCTACAAGCTAGTAATATTTAAACCCATTTTTCCATTCCGTCCCCTCTCCATTTTCAGATGAATAGTCCTATCCGACATGCGTACGTGAAAAAGTAAAGTTAATACACTCAAATCGTACGTTATGGGGTCGAGTTCGTACATGGTTGTAATGGGCTAATTAATCTCAAATTAATTCTGATTTTTGTAAGAGCTGATTTCGAAAAGAAAAGCAAATATCTTTGAACTTATGGTTTTGGTTCCCTTTTTCTAAGTTTATAAAAAAAAAGTCAAAATATTAAATGAAAAACAGTTGAGACTATCACATAGAAATGTTTTAAAAATTAATTAGAAGTTAAAACTAATTCTTAAAAGGAAAAATGAGTGGAGAACAAAACTAATCTCACCTTTAGAATTGACTATAAGCGCGAAAAAGAAACATAATACATCTTCTGATCCACGTCCCTCAAATGACCATCCCGCTTCCCATATGCTCCTTGCATGCTGCAGAAAAGGTCCGGTAGTTGGATATTTCTTTCTCGTCAATTGACTATATATTTTGCTGCTGTCCTAAATTTCTTAATTAAATGAATCGGGAGCAGTTATTGGGTGGCTTTTGTCAACCAATGAATTTGTAGTTGATGAAGTAAAGTTCAAGCGCAAGAATAGTAGGGACAACCCATAATATTAATATTATGGGGTTGGCATTTTTCCAGGGCTGCTCGATCAACTACTTAACCCTAGATTTTGGTTAAATGTAGAAAATGTTTGACATTATTTTCGTGTTTGCAGATTCAAGAAAGTCTTCAATATTAGTAGTGTTTTTTTGTACTTTAATTTGGTTAAGCCTAAATTAATAGGAGAACTAGGAAACAAGAATTAATGCATATATAATAGGGTCTTATTTCGAGTATTTACAGACATATCGGTGCATAATGTTTCTAGTGATCGTAGATCTCTTGTTCCATTGTCATTCCTAACTTGATGCATGGAAGGGCTCTAAGAGACTCTCTGACTACTTAGATTAAACTTCAGCGGTTGCCTTCTCCAAATGTGTTGAACTATTGAGACCAAAAAAAAAGTATAATAGGACCGAGTGATTTAGATAGAAAATTATTTGGAATAGTTTTTTGAAAAAATAATGTAAAACATTTTTAATGTGATTATTTGGAATAGTTTAAATTGTATGCAACCAATTGAATCTCTAATAGTAATTATGATGCAAATTTTGTTATACAAAAATAAAAGTAATTAATTCTATGAGATATATCAAATATTAATATTTATAATATTCTACAATAGCAATTTATTTTATAGATAAATAGTAAATTAATATTCAGAAATTTGTAAAATAGCAATTTATTTATTCTACAGTGGTAAATTAATATTCAAAAATCGATTGGCTGTGATAGCACTATTTGAAATTTGTACAGATAAATAATCAAGTGATTTAACTAGTATCTTTATAACAAAAACATCTTTTACTAAATCACTTCCTTTCATATTCATCCACCACCACTTGCCAGTCACCTCGTCATCAGTACTTTATTCGATTCGAAGTATTTTTAAATTTTTTAAAACTTATGAGTGTTTTAGAGTGTCACTGTAAATGATATTTTAAATTAAATTTATTTTTCTAAAACAGACCATCTAGATAGTATTATAATCGTAAGCTTTATTTGTGCACGATAATTCAAGAGAAATTGGACGAAACTCGATTGAACTTGGTCCCCTTCCTCCGATTAATCTCCATGTTTAGACATGAATGAAGATCATCAATTTGATTGCGCACGAATGGTTTCCATCATCTACAAAAGTGTTTTACTTTCTTTTTTTCAGATAATTGGTGACACTTGCGGTCGAGGAAGGAACGACAGAAGCAGCTGTGGCTTTACACGCTTTGGCGCTGTCGAGCACTCATTATTGTATTACCGTTCCACGAGGCCAATAAAAGCGTTTGACTGGGACCAAATACGCTTTTAACGGCTCTTTCGTTATTTTATGCCTTTCTGAGCCACGAATACAGAAAGTTCCAAAACCAAATCAACGAAAGTTACGTATTCTCTTAAAGATTACTCATCCTTAACTAAAATTTTTTTATCTTTTTATCGTCACATAACGTACAACACAATACACCCAAAGAGCACCCAACACTTTTAACTCTTACATTTTTTAGCTTGACATCATACGATTAGAGCTGTTAAATGGAACGAACAACTCGAAAGCTCGATTGAGCTCGACTCGATAAGGCTTGACCTCAACTCGTTAATTGTGGTAAACGAGTCGAACTCAAACTCGAGATATACTCGTTTAATTAACAAGTCGAGTAAGCTCGACTCGTTTGTTATATGAGTAGCTCGATTATGCTCGATAACTAAGGATATATATATCATTTCACAATTCAAAAGTATAAAATTTAAAAATTTTAGGTTTTTATTGGGGTTAATTTGCACGAGCTAATGCAAACTCGGCTCGTTTGTGATAAACGAATCGAACTCGAGCTTCCATTTGGCTAGTCGAGTCCGAACACATTTCAAAGCTTGTCCGTCGAGTGAACTCGGCAGCTGTGGCTTTACACTATGAGTATATTATATACAATAACAGAAAAAAAAAACTCGTGTCACGAGTAAATATTTAAAGTTTATACGTGATTATATATTACAAATTAATCATTCTTACATTATTACCATGTTGTATACAATAACAAAAATAGACTCGTGTCACGAATAAATATTTGGAGTTTATATGTGATTACATGGTTTGCTTATATGTGAATGCCTTTATATCTTCAATACCCTTCTAAGTTCTAACTTGATTTCATCTCCATACCACGAAATTTTAAATGGAAAAATGAGTGCAAAACAATTGTTGCAATTCAACCCATTCAGGCAACCAACTCCATCTAGAGGAGTTGGCTATCACATTAATTGTGAGGTGGGAGGTTAAGAATTCAAACATTGCATCCCATCAACGTGTCTCTATATTAGAATTGTTCTAAATTTATACAGATGTGTGATGCATTCGATCTGATTTGATGATAGTTCAGTCCCTATTAGGTTCCCCTGATTCATGTTAGGCTAAATGTACTGTTACCCAAAAAAAACATTTAGACACATGGTAGATTTATGAAAGCACCGACGTGTTTTATAATTACTGGACAGAGGATTCTAAGTGCATTTGACTCCCTGTCAAATTGAGATTTAGTTTACTACTGTTAACATCGATTAATCATTTTGTGCATGCCTGTCACGCTTTCCCCAACCCCACCAAAAAGCAGAAGCCGAGAGGGAAAAAATGCTTCAAATTTTTGTATTTTCACGATTGATTGGTCGTAATCACTTTCTTAAAATTTCAACAACTTTTCCATTTTATATGAATGATTAAAGCTACCTTTATATTTGAATAATCGATAAAAGCATATATATATATATATATATATATATATATAGGTATTGTACCCTTGCACTTTCATTCGGACATGAGTGGCATATATCCGTATTTATGATTGAGCCTTAAATTTCAGCTTTGTACATGTTCTGTTCTCGTTTGTTGTAAATTTGTAAAAGTTAATTACTGAGAATAATTAAAATCAGCTAAGGTTGTTCTCGAGTAAATTCTAGATTTTATTATTTTGTCATTAGAAAATCTAAAACTTAAATGAATAAATATACAAGAAAAATCAAGTAAGTATCCAAAATAAGTATCTAAAATTAGGTGAAACAATCGCACGGGAACAGATCAATAAAAAAATTGTAATAGCTCACGTAAAATCTACGTTTCAACCAACGCGAAAGTATGAATTTCCTTAAGAGGAATGGCACATCTTTTTTTTCTCTCTCAACCCCTTCTCATCTTCAATTGTTAGATTCAAGATTCGAATTCTAAATTTAACAGTGGAAGGGAATGGCACGATTTTAAATCTCTTGTGGATCAAGAACAAGATATTTGCACGGCAAAGGAAATTTTTTTTTTTTTGCCGTTATTTAATTTGAACCACACTAAGAAGAGAGAGAGTGACGAAGAAATTGAAGTGTGTGGTACGTTGGAGTTGGGCCCTATAAAAAGAGTGGGGGAGCAGCGTAAATCCTGAAATGTCTCCGGGACACAACTCAGCACCCTCACACAGTCACACACACTTGGCGCTTGGCTGCATTGTTCCCACATATCCCCAAAATCGCCAGCGAAGCATTTAGTGGAGAATATATTCCGGAGAAAACACATTTAAACGATCAAATAAAAAAATAAAAAAAAATACAAAAAGATACAAAAATAAAAGCCAAGCACCGTTGCTTTCTCTCCATTAGGGAGAGAGAGAACAGAAAGCAAGCGAACAAGAAAGGGAGAGTAGGCCGCGGAGGAGGCTGAGGATTGTAACAAAAGGAGCAGAGACGCCGTTTTGATTCAACGTCGTCGGCGGCATTGTTGTAATTCTCATGGATCAATATGTTTGGGAAACGATTTTGGCGGTGGCGTTAGGTTTTGTGGCCGTGTATGGAATTCTGGCCAGAAATGCTAATGCTCGCCGGAAAAGTTTTGGTAAAGGTGGGGCGGAGGATAGGGAGCCTCGTGACACCGCCACCACCACCCCCATTGATGGTATATTTAGATCCAAGAACAACGACGCCTCCGACGATGCAGACGTCATTATCGTAGGCGCCGGCGTCGCTGGCGCCGCTCTCGCTCACACTCTCGGGAAGGTAGTATGAAAATTTTCCTCGTCTTCGTCGCCTTATGTTATAGAATTATTGTTATATATATGTGTGTGTGTGTGTGTCTGTATATAGTACTGCATGAATTCAGCGATTTTTGTAATGAGAGTTTATTTGAGTGCGTGTTTGTATTTCAGGTGAATAAGACTGTGATATTGATGACAAAAATGCATGTTAAAAAAAATGAATGAAATAGGAAAAGGAAGATTATAGATTGATCTAGGAGTTGCGTTACTTTTTTCTTTTGCTTTTTTTTTTTCGTGCTGTACATTTAAGAATCTAAACACTAATTGACTATATTGTTTATTAACTAATTTTTCTGTTGATGCAACTTATCTAATAGTAGTGTAATTTTTTTTAAAAAAAATTATTTGTTTTTCAGGTGCGGCCGTTGTCAATCTCATTTTACGGGTTTAAATCTGGTTTTCTTCTTTTCATTATTCGTTTCAATTTTATTGATGTTTGGGCTTGTGATCAGCGTTGTTTTGCGAGTTTAACTTAGCAGGACAAAGCCTTCTTTAGGTTTGAGATCACATCTATGATTGTTGATTATCACATATTTGCCATTTTGTGGTCTTCTGTGCATGCGTGACGTCAATAGGTTTTTGTAAAGCTTAATTATATTTCTTACTGTGGTCCTTTTAAAAAAAATTGGATGCAAAACAATTGAACTTTGAAGTTTTGTCATGGGCTTAAAGGAGGAAGTAGAAAATTACCTATTAAGCATATTCACTTTTCATATTGGCCTGCAGGATGGACGTCGGGTGTATGTAATCGAAAGAGACTTGTCAGAGCCTGACCGGATTGTAGGAGAGCTGCTCCAGCCGGGCGGCTATCTCAAGTTGATTGAACTGGGACTAGAAGGTAAAGTTTGCAGAACTAATAGAAAAATGTTGTCCTGATATTGAATTGATTGTAATGCTTTGAGCTAAGTAGGCTCAACTACTGCAACATTTGACATTAGAAGCCTCATCTTTGCCCATTTAGTGTAGAATTACTGAAGCAGATTCTTTTTTTTTTTTAACCTCGACTACAGATTGTGTGGAGGGAATTGATGCACAGCGAGTCTTCGGATACGCTTTATTCAAGGATGGTAAAAGGACTCGTGTGGCTTATCCCTTGGAAAAATTTGACTCTGATGTTTCTGGCAGGAGCTTTCACAATGGCCGTTTCATTCAACGCATGCGAGAGAAAGCTGCATCTCTTCCCAAGTATACTCTACTCTTGCTCTTGTACTTGGTGGTTGTTTAGTATGTTTCCTGCAGTTTTAGTCATAAAGTTAGAAGTGGCAATTTCTGTATGGCTGATTGAGGATACATGTGCTTTAAATTCAACAAGAATCTTTAGAAGATCTGAATACATGAAAAATGATTTAGTTAAGTTGGTGGCTGATAGCACGGAAGCATCTTAGTATCTTAGAAGTCTTTTTCACCCTTTTTTTATGGTTTTTTACTTTTATGGATCTGATTTTAAATATCATACAGTGTTCGCTTGGAGCAAGGAACAGTGACTTCTCTTCTGGAAGAAAAAGGGGTTATCAGAGGCGTGCAATACAAAACAAAATCTGGTGAAGAATTGATCAAGTATGCACCTCTCACTGTTGTATGTGACGGTTGCTTTTCAAATTTAAGACGCTCTCTTTGTGATCCTAAGGTGTGGATGGCTTAGAAGCTCTCTTTATTCTCATTTAGTTATCAATAGCTGATTAGTCTTCTCTGTCTTTCTCATACTGTGGATTACTTGAGGACAACAAATCAAGTTGGTTGGTGTTTTACATTTTTCGAATACTGATGTCTCTGCCAGGTAGACGTCCCTTCTTGTTTTGTTGGCTTGGTTTTGGAGAACTGCCAACTTCCTTTTGCAGATCATGGCCATGTTGTTCTAGCAGACCCGTCACCTATTTTGTTCTATCCAATCAGCAGCACAGAAGTTCGCTGTCTGGTTGATGTACCTGGTCAAAAGGTACCATCTATTTCAAATGGTGAAATGGCCAAATATTTGAAGACAACAGTGGCTCCACAGGTAGCAGTAGGATATAAAGTTTGAATTTTATTGCTGTTATTTTTTTTGGGTGTACAAGCTTCAGTCTACTCTTATCACAAGGAACAATATGCTATATAGATTGTGAAACTTCTATCATCTAACTATTCACTTTCTCACCATCTTCTTGTAGGTCCCTCTTGAATTGCATGATGCATTTATTGCTGCGGTTGACAAAGGAAACATTAGGACCATGCCCAACAGAAGTATGCCAGCAGCTCCTCATCCTACCCCTGGGGCTTTGCTATTGGGAGATGCATTCAACATGCGACACCCTTTGACTGGAGGAGGAATGACAGTGGCTCTGTCTGATATCGTTGTACTACGTGATCTTCTCAGACCTCTTGGCGATCTGAATGATCCACCTACCCTTTGCAAGTATCTAGAATCATTTTACACCTTGCGTAAGGTACATTTAATTAAGTTCAGGACTTGTTTTGGTCATCAATATGGAAAACAATTGAGCAATATTGATCCAATGAATATTGAGTCTTTCCATAATATTCAAATTTTTCCTTAGTGATTTGATTTTGACATTGAACAGTGGAAATGCATTTTATGACGTTTTCATGCATTTGTCTTCCCACACCCGAATTTGAGTTATCCAATTTTTTTTTTAAAATTGAAATGATTGTCTTGTTAATTTTATTGCTTATATCCTCTTTCAATGTTTTTGTTTGCAGCCTGTGTCAGCCACCATCAATACGTTAGCTGGTGCCCTCTATAAAGTGTTTTGTTCATCTTCTGATGAAGCAAGGAAAGAGATGCGTCAGGCATGCTTTGACTATTTGAGCCTTGGAGGTGTTTTCTCAAATGGACCAGTATCTCTACTTTCTGGTCTGAACCCTCGCCCATTAAGCTTGGTGTGCCATTTCTTTGCGGTGGCGATATACGGTGTTGGCCGCTTGTTGCTGCCTTTTCCCTCACCTAAGCGCATGTGGATTGGAGCAAGATTGATATCAGTGAGTATCTGATTCTTTCTGTCATTAATTTCTCTTAATCGATTAATACATCTGATTGAAAACTATTTCTATTCTCAATGCCATATTCTAAATTTCAAGCTCACCTCTGCAGAGTGCATCGGGAATTATTTTCCCCATTATCAAGGCTGAAGGAGTGAGGCAAATGTTCTTCCCCGTTACCGTTCCTGCATATTATAGAGCACCACCTGCTAAGTGAGGTTGTCCAGCAAATGCTAAAACACTAAACTCCTCAATTGCAATTATCACATTCAAGTTTGTGTCTGCGTTTGCAATCCGATGTTCAAAGTTAGTGGAAAGCGGATGCTTTTATAAACTGGTGTGAATTGTGATATATTTTTTGCTCCTAGGTCTTTTTGTATCTCATTGTATTTGTCCTTTTTTTTCTCAACCGTCTCAAGTAAACAGAATTTTTTTTAGTGTTTTTTGGTTCTCTTTGGCGATTTAATTGCTTTGTAAATAACTGGGATGATGTGAGCTTCATTCAGATTGTAGTGTGAAGAAGTGAAAATTTTCCGAGTCACTGCAATATTAGTTTTAGTAATGAGATTTTTCTGATGGTTAGCTTTGGAAAGCAAACGGGTATCAACTTTCAAGCTAATAGTCTGGGATCACATATTATTCTTTCTGGGGAGTTACTAGGGTAAAATATAGAAACTCCCTTGAGGTTAAGCGAATATATAGAAAAATCCCTTATAATTGGAAACAAAAAAAAAATTATATTGATATATCCATTATACCCTTTGAATTATAATATAAAAAAACTCCCTGTGATTAAGCAAATCTACAAAATAAATTTCTTATGATTTCCAATCATACAATCTATAGTATCTTGTGATTTGAACTAATGTGAAAAATCACTTAAATTAACAAGTTTGAGGTTGCTTGACATGGAAAATAATTTTTTAAATCAAAATTTTAGCTGATATACCTATTAAAACTCATAAAATTTTCAAAAACAATCCAAAACTCCTAAATATAACTCACGTTATTTCTATACACAAATAAAATAAATAAAAACTTCCAAATACAACTAACCTTATTCCCATGCACAAAATAAATAAATAAAAGCAACATATAATCATAAGGAATTTTTCCGTAAGTTGGCTTAACCATAAGGGGTTTTTCCATAAGTTTGCTAAATAGGATGGTTGTTAGAAAGTCTTTTATTACTTATATATAGTAGGGTAATTGTGTGTCATTTCATCCACCTCCGTTAGTTTTGATAATTTCTGTTACTGTTTCAAATTAATTTAAATCATGAGAGACTGAAATGTATGATTTGAAACTATAAGAGATTTTTCTATATGTTAACTTAATCACATGGAACTTTTTTTGTATTTTACCCGAGTTATTAAGATATAATAGACGGAGAAAAGCAGATCGATGGTTTTGGCAATGAAATTGAATATAATCATGTCACACAATTTAAATTATCAATTCTTGATAGGTGTCTAGTGAGCGCTCATTAGTAATTTAATAGTCTCATAGGTTAATTCGATCCCAATAGTTTCTTGTCAGCTTAACTGGTTTGGCATTTCTTCACTCTGTTTAATTCAAAGGGCGATGGACGGAGAGGAAATGCGATGGTAACGACAGAGACAAGCAGAAAAACCGAGGATGTACGCACGGCTAGTAATTGAATAATTAAACTGTACCTTTTCACGCTCCCGTGAGGCTGTGAGCTTTCTCCATTTGTAGGCATTATTACATGGTCAAAATCATGTCGATCCTCTTGTTTTTCCTTGGCAAATTTTAGCGTTTTTCTGCACTACTAGTTGTCCAATCTTTTATTTTCTTACCAAACCAAAGAAAAGAAGAGAGATCTATAGCTGTAGGTTGATTTCCTTCCTCTTGTCTTCTCGCTGTTCACTTCCCAGTTCTGAGTTGTCATCTCACCATACCAAAGATTCGAAACCTTAATTCCCGTCGCTGAAAAAAGTTTACCATTTCTTACCATATTGTTCCAAATAATTTCACGAAATCAATATTAATCTTGAAAAAAAAAACCAAGAAAGCCAATATGCTTCCTGTCCATAGAAAAGACCAAGAAAAAAAAAAATAGCCATACCTAGAGTCAGCCTCGCAGTATGCGCACCTAAATAAAGGGGACATATGCAGCAGACAGTAGTTTATAGAAGTAGCTCTTTCATTTCATTCGCGAATTCTTATTTAATACTTCAAATGAATGAAAACAACATATAGTACATCATAGAAGAGCGATCGCCAACTTCTTGTTCCTATTCCTTGGACGCTACTGGATAAAATACTCAAAATTGTTATTTGGATACATGTACAAGTGAGTGAGCATACGATAAGAGACTTCTAACCATCGAATTGTCGATTAGATAGGGGATGCTGTAGGCATAAGCAAGCTCTAAGCTGTCTGAGCTTTGTAGAGGACGACCAAAAATTTTGTGGGACTTTTCAAATCCCAACTGACCGCTACAAGTGAAAACCAAACGCTGAAGGCCTCCGAGTATCATGTATGAAACCTTTTTACATGCTTCGAAAATACAATTGGCAGAGTATGGGAAGGTGAGATGCAGAGACACCCAACCAAACTAGTTCAAATCTTTCGTCAGTTCTTCTTGTTATTTCTTTCCGTCTTTATAGCCTCATAAGATATCATAACTTCCTTAAACTTTGCTTCAGCAAGCTCTGCAACCAAAGAGGAACATTAGAAGTTAGTCCACAGGCAAGAAAGTAACCTAGCTAAATGTCATACTAGCTCAGAGATATAAATGTGCGATTGAGAAGAGTCATGATTCCATACGTTGATTATCCTGATTCTGATCAGGATGGAACTCCATTGCTTTCGCCCTGAAAGCTGACTGCAATGCAAATAAAAGTGAAGATACCTCAGGTCAACGTTTTCAATTATTTAATAACCGACAGAAAAAGCAAGAGCAGGAGCACATAATTATGATAGTTACGACCGATAGCTTTATGACGTACAAATACAGTTTTACAATCGTGTCGAGTGGATGTTGCCTATGAAAGTTTGGAGCAGCTATAAGAGAATGAACTCAGTCCATCTAACAGAAAAAACAGGTTTACATGTACCCTGATGTGAAAATGATTGCGAGTCGCAGCTAGTATCCATGGTTCTCAGCAATATTAGATCGTATAACATAAAACTACAACTGCCACGTTCAACAATTACACAACTTCAAGAAAGAGGCATCGTGAGAATCTACTGTAGCTTTAGAATAAGAAGAACAAATTAAAGAAAGTGAGGAATTAAAATTCGATTCCAGATTATCCTTTTGTTCTTGTGAAAAGAGGGGTGTTTTTAGCAGATGTAAATCTATTTGTGTTCAACATAATTGAAGAACTGGTCTACATTTTATAGATCAGATTGGTTACCTCCTCTCTTTTTACCAATACATAGTTGTCACTGAAGTTCCTTTAATTTCTTCCTTCTACCCATAAAGAGAAATACAAGGAAAAGAATTTTCCATTTATTCTTAGCCTCACTTCTTTTCATTTATGTATGTATAACTAAGGGACAAGTTAACATCACCCCTTCACCTTCCCATATAGTTTTGCTAGCAAACTATGACTCAAACCATCACTACATGCTTAAGGAAATACAAAATATCAAATGAAATATCATATGAAGATAAAATGGTAATCAGTTATGTGCAATAATACCCACAAGGTAAATAGTACCTTTATCTCGTCATCTGTGTATGGTTTTGCTCTTGCCCTGTTGCAAAGGAGACAATCCATGTGTCAAGTCTCACACATTGAGTCTTTCCACAACATATAAATTAAAATTTCCTACACTAGCCAGAATAACATGTTGTGGAAATGAACAAAACCATTCTAGAGGATATGATCTGAGAAAACAAATTTTTGGCCAGGATAAGAAAGAATTTAAAAGTTAGCATAATAGCTTCACTGACAAAACAATATCTGATATGTAATACAGATTGTCACCTGTCAAGACCTAAGACTGAATAGTGATGTGATAATGGATAGCTTGCACTGGCCCGAGGAGCCTCCCTGAATTTAGCCCCTTGATCTCTATATGATGTATCGCCCTTCCAATACCAGTCATTTCTCTGAAAATGCTGGTGATATGCACCCTGACCATTTTCTGCCCAGCTCTCGTAACTCCTTTTATACTTATTTCTCTCTCTATTGAAGACACTTTGCATGCGTCGAATCCGCTCCTGGACAGATCAACCATGAAGCAATGAGTTGCATATGGCCGCAAACTTCCAACAAAATTAGGAAAAAAGATTTGTCTGTAACCCTTTAAAAAGAAGCTTACATGCTGCGTCACATTAATTAGAGGATAAGTCCAGATCAACTCAAGTTCTTTTGGAAGGCAACAAGAAGGTTGTATCCATATTCAAAAGGTCAAGGCTCCGTTTGGAATAGCTGTGTTTGGGGTTGTTTTTAAAATATTTTACTATAGCAATGTATATGAAAAACTTTTACCGTAGATGTTTTTGGTGGTATTTTTGAAATATTTTGGGGATATTTTTAAAGTTTAAAAACTTTTAGTGTATTTTTTAAAAATTAAAATTACCACTCACCACCGCCACCATCGCCACCCCCTCCCTCCTCCTCTCTCTTCCTCCTCCTCCCCCTTTCTCCTTCCCTCCTTCCCCTTCGTCCTCCTTCTCCCTTCCCCTTCCCCTCCCTTTTCCCGCCACAACCCTGCCCAATCTAGGCACGGACAGCACGGGGAGAGGGAGACGGGAGGGGCGGGGGTTGTGGCGGGAAAGGGGAAGGGAGGAGGGAAGGTGAAAGAAGGGAGGAGAAGAGAAGGAAAAAGAGGGTGGGAGAAGAGAGTGGAGTGGAGGGGATGGGGGTGGGGGTGATAGATGGAAGAAGAAAATGGTGTACATTTAATTTTTTTTTGTATAGTTGGAGTTGTTTTTGATATACTGTATGGATGTGGTGTTTTTAGAGTTGTTTTTGTTTGTGTATTACTGTAGCATTGCATATGAAAAACTTGTTGTTCAAGGTAATTGCTTATCAAAATATTGGTCAAATAAGGCTACAAAGATAGACACTTGATGTGGGCAGTCAATTGCTTATTCACAATCCACTGAAAAATCCTGCCTTTGACAGCTTCTCTTTCTATCAGAAGTACACATCCTGCTTTCTACCCATAAGAGACAAATCACACATAGTGACCATCTCTAAAATCAAGTTCCTTGTTTACTCCAAAAGATCCATTTCAAGAAGACAGGCTAATACATGCTTAATGTCAAGTATTATCTGGAGATGATGACAAGCCAAAAACAACAGTGACTACAAACTTTTAGCCACTTCAAAATGCAGTGATACATGTCTTACGGTTCTTAGTTTCTTAAGCTTGAAATTTTGGTGATGAAGTAACATAATCATTTCATTTTGCACCAGATGTTCTCTTGTAAGATGCTTATATGAAGAGTGGATTTAATTGGAAGAGCAATTCTTAAGGAATTAACAGAGTTATCATAATCAGGTTCCACAAAGACATCTGTTCAGTCCTTTCAATCAGAATGGCAATTTATAACT